CGTTATAGAATGGCTTCGGAACGAATGCACTTTGTCTAGCCTCTCAGGTTCGTAAACAAATGAGATCAACATTACGCACGATACTAATACATATTCCGCATTTTGTGTGGCTTTTGTGTACACATTATATTCCCAATGAAACCTTAAATATTGTAAACAATGAATACAACGCGGCTATTGTAAATTCCAAAAAAAAAATACAAAAAATCTAAACCAACTGAAAAAAAAATTATAATTTATTTCCGAAAAAAAACCACTCACATAATCTACATTAATTGCTATCTATATTATACAATTTGATAACTACAATTTTCAAAAAAAATATGAAATAATCTAATAGCCGCCATGTTTGTTTTACAAAATTTAAGTGTTCATTTGAAATGTATATCCCATTTCAACAATCCAACATTACGACATTGTTTGAACAATTAAAAATGTCAAAACAGACCAATATTATTAAGAACAATATATATATCGTTGCGATTTAAAAGCTTTAGGTTGTATGCTGTTTTTACAATTGAAACAATAATATTACAAGACTTTATTCCATCTCAGTTATTCAACTCACAATAAAGGTTTTTAATTTCATATGCGGACAAAAAATTTCACCATTTTCAGCGTAACACGTAAAATGCTTCAGTATTACTTAAATAAACCCAATTATCTTAAATTGAGACTCTTCTAAAATCATGATATTATTCACTGAGTTTATTAATTTCCAAATAAAATATTGTTGATTTTTCATTGACCATCTCAATCTCTACTTCACTAAACGCATATGCACAAAATACAAACTTTTGAGGTTATAAATTGCATTATTTAATTAAAATACTTAAGAGTCCATAAAAATAGGAAACAGACAACTTTTTCATAAGAATGTTAGTTATATATTTAGTTTATGATACCGCACTAACCCTTGATTTCTGAGACCAAAATCTCTAACTGTCGCACGCGACTCCGTCCGCGTGCATTTAAAAAAAAACTATTGGTCGCAGCGTAATGTTATATAGCTTAAAGCCTTCCTCTATAAATGGACTATCCAACAAAACAAGATTTTTTTCAAATTGGACCAGTACTTCCTGATATTAGCGCGTTTAAACAAATAAACTCTTCCGCTTTATAATATTAGTATAGATCAGTCTTTCCCAAAGTGGGCGATAACGCCCTCTTGTGGGCGCTGCAGGTCTCAAATTGCGAGTTATAGTAAAAGTTTCGTTTAGAATTCTCCATTAATATACATATATAGGTCACAATAATTAATTAATTTAATTTGAAGTTATAGTGGTTTTTAAATATGTGAAAATATGGGGGCGCTAAAAAAATATTTATTCTCAAAATGGGCAGTCGACAAAATAAGTTTGGAAACCACTGGTATAGATCATCCCGGTCATTGTCAAAACAGAGAAAACAATATGTTCTAAACGTAGATTTTGATCACAGAAACCAACGGTAATATATTAGAATTACATGCAACAACAAATTAAATGGAAAAATATTCCCATATATTAGTGCAAAAAACATTTCTATTATGAACACATACACATACAATTTGAACTGCAGGCGCTATTTACATACATATTTTACATATTTATATGATACATATATACAAGTAACCACGCCAGTCAAATTTTATAATACATCTAACTACTAACAAGTATTTACATCAGTATAACATTAGCTGTGGGTCTCTACTCCAAAAAAAACATATTAAAACGTGTTACCGTCATTATTCTGTTGGGAAAATAAGATAACAATTTATTTTTACCCGACTGACAAAGAGGGTAATGTTTTTCGCCAGTATGCAAGTTTTATATGTGATTTTTTTTTTACGACGGCTTAAAGCATAAGTCTTTGAACAGATTTTGACGAGTGGGGTGACATTGAATTCGTCTTCTTCACTAGAGTGTCGTAATAACCCATATATACCTATAACATCAACACAAATATATAGTTAACGTGAAGGATGCAATTTAAAAAAAGTTCAAAATCGTGGTTTTAAATCGTAAACAATAGATGGCGGTCAGTCGAGTTTTTAGTGTTTTAATATTAAGATTAGGTCATCTTATAGACATTTCCGTAGTGTTAATCCGCGGTAAAGAGTACTCAGTGGTATATCTCCTAATTTTTTTAGGGAACAAGTCGCCTTAACCCACTTTTCCGCACATCTACGACATATTTTTAAGTTACATTTGACAATCGAAACTCAATCAGGGACTGTATTATGATGAGAATGTTAGTCAGTTATACAACAAGAAAAGAGAGACACGATCCGTCTATAATTTGTTTATTTGTGTCAACGATAAGAGCTATCCCTTGTTTATTAGACATATAGACAGTTTTAGTAAATAAATACGTTAAATAGTTTTCATAAAATTATCTATTTGAAACCATCCTCGGTTGAATTCATATGAAAACTATGACGCCAAGGCATACACGTGTCCTTCTCTTACTCCACGGATGTTATATCTTTTTCTCTGTCGTGTAACGTTATGCGCATAACCGTGACGCGTCCTTGAAATATTAGTGGAGATTTATAGTAAAGCCTAACTATTCACTAGTACCACATGAATTCTTAACGAATACTAAACTATTATTGTACACTTTTCTATACGATTCCAAGTCTTGTGCGAATATTAAAGTTTCAAACAACATTCTTATGCCAAATTATATCTACAAGTATAAGAATGGGCTTTAAAACATTGCAAAACATCTAATATGGCACCTGTGTATAAAATTATTGTATTTTTATATGTCCCTAGTTATCATATAATCTTACTCTTAACAGATTTGCGTATTTTTATATAGACTTCGTTGTTAATTCATAAAATAATATTTTTCGAAAAATATTCCGACCTGAGCTATTTTTAAGGGCAACCTTATTAGAATTAATCTTAGAACAACCGAGAGCTTGCAGGGAATTGTGAATGGCGTAAAATAATTGACATAATAAAAATTTGGTTCATGTGGGTTAAGGAACTTCTAAAGGTTACAGTAATACAACATCGAAATCGTTTTACAATTAAGATAAGTTTTATAAGTTCAGTACATTTTTTATATTAAATTGATTTATTGATTGCTTTGACTTTTTTATTTAATAGCTCTTGGACTATATTGGTACAAATAAATATATTATAAACTTACATAAGCAAAACATACATTCAACAACACTTTTCCCTAATATCATATAATTGCTACAATATATTAAATTGCTCCTTTTCACTAACCGTAGATATCATAATATGTAATGACTAAATATTAGACCTTTTAAAAAATAATTCATCAAAATCATGACAAAATAACAAAAATTACGACACAGATTGATTAGAGTTGTATTTAAATTGCTTGTTACAAGAAAACTTTAAAAATAACTTGTGAATTTTTTTTTTTTACAATAAGTACAATATACAAAGTTAAATGTATTTTAACCATTTCTGCAAGAATAGGCAGCACTACTATATTAATACTGATTATACATAAAAGCACCCAAATTATTTATCAATTTATTTTTACAGTCATTTATCTATGCGATTTATATTAAAATCATGAAAACAATCTCTAGGACTCTACAATAACAAGGCAATGATAGTTTAATAAAATAGTTGTATAGATAAATAAATACATAAATATAATAAAATGTTAAATTATTTAAACTTTCGTGAGACATTATAATAAACTTATATAAAAAACGGCTAAAACACTCACGTATTATTCGTCCGGTGGCGGCACCGACTAGTTTAGAGCACATCAGGGGCCCCAGGGTTAGTGGGACTGGTATTATTTTGCGGATGTGAAAGGCACGCGTTAGTGAGCTGGGGGCCACGTCCGTGAAATAATACTAGTCCCACTCACCTTGATGAAGGGCCCTCTATGGGCTCGAAACTAGTCGGTGCCGCCACCGGACGAACATACGTGAGTGTTTTAGTCGCTTTTTATATAAGTTTATGATAAAATATTACTACGCGTGCAGAATAACATAAAAATGTCTATGTCTTATAACTTTTACAGAGAGCGATGAAGCTTTACAAAATTTGTGAGTTATAATTACATGATTCATGCAATTTCATGATTCCTTTTTGGAAAATTTAACATCGCTCTGACGTTATCGGACTAATCGCAGGTTTCCGAGACCAAAATCCCCGTTCAAAAATTATTGTCATTTACTTTGTCAGAGTTAATGACAGGGATGACGATATGTTTTTTAGAGTTTTTAGTCTGAGAAACCAACGGTAATAATTGTTATTTGAAAAAAAAATGTTGCTTGTCCGATTTTCAAAATCAAACATTTCATCGTCAACTTTATAATATCATCTTGTAATCAGAAACGATTTAATTAAGTACCATATCTTACAAGCCGTCGATTTTCTTCTATAAAAACAATACTAATATTTACAATTACAAAACGAATCGTAACAAGAAATAAAATTTCCATTTATTAAACGCATCGGCGTCATTATTTAATTTTGTCATGGTACAACGCTCAACGTCCGAGTTGCCATACAAAAATATTTACACCAATTCAAATAGATATTTAATTTAAAATTCAGACTAATACGAATAAAAAAGTCGACTTTTTCAATATAAAATCGGACGCTTTCACATCGATTTTATTGTTACTACAATTTTTACACATAAACTCGTGTTGCGAGTCGATATCATTGAATTGTCAAGTTAGTAATGGGCTACATTTCATACGCAAAAGTGGCATACATAAAAGTCCGAATTGGAAATGAAAAGATATACTTTGGTTTATGGTTATCTCTAAAAGAAGAATATCTGACCATAGTCATAAAGCCTAACTTTTTTTATTACAATGGTGCCAGCACCTGCTGTCGAATATCGCATTAGAAGACGCCCAAAAACTAAGCCAACACATTTGTGACTTTTATTAAAAAAAAAAACACATGATTGTGTAGATTATATAAAAAAAAACATCGGTTAGTAATCACGGAATATATGAAATTAAAATCTGTATAATTTGAATCTACAATTATTTATATTAAAATATATTTAAAAGAGCAACTAATGGTAACATTTGACATTTATAGTGTAATGTCGACATTTTAGATTCATATCCAAGTTTTTGGGCAAATGTAAGAATCCATAGTGTCTTAGTATTTTATCGTAAAAAGACATAAACAATTAACGTTGAGTTATCAGAGAGATGTTTTCTACCTCCCCCATGTGTTTATTTTTACAGGGGAATGAAACAGAAAAAAAAGAGTTTTAAATCAAGGTTCAGCTGTTATATAAGTAGGACACCCAAAAACGCGAAAGTATTAAAAATCGTGCTAGGAACTTCCTTGTACTTTATAATCTAATTATAGCATAACAGTCGTTATACCTTTAATAATCAGAAAGCTTTATTCCAGCGCAACAAAGGCAAGAGAGTTAAAAAGAAGTAAGATATCGGAGAAGCAATATTAACACCTATTGTTAAAAACATAAGGATCACTTTGAATTCTTACAATTTACTTATTTTCGTGCACATATATACCTGATTTTGATACAAATCGTATAGTCTATTTAGTTCTTAATGTTCAGTACATTTCAAATCACTTCACATGCGTAAATTAGTCTCACCAACACAATTGCTTATCGTTTTGTTCTATTTTATTATAAAATAATTTAACTAATATCTGCACATATTTACACTTTATTCTAATAGTTCGGCAGTGAGCTTTTATTAAAGTATTTACTATGAACTGTCCGGGTTCGATTTCCGTCTCACTTGATGCGGGTTCAATGCTTGGGTCTGTGTTTGTGTTATAAACTGTGTAGTGCCTGGAAAATAATATTTCATATTTATTTCTAACTAAATAACCAAATAGGCTCAGGGGTCAAGCTCTTTACTTGCAATCTGTAGGTCCTGGGTTGGGCCAATGTGTTTTTCGATTTCCGATTTACATATATACATTTATCTGACTTGCGGTGAAGGAAAACATCGTGATGCAACCTGCATGTCTGAGAAGAAATTCAAAGATATGTGTAAAGTCAACCAACCAGCACTAGGCCAGCGTGGTTGACTATGGCCTAATCACCCATAAATTAGGGTAGACTAGGAGCCCCTCAGTGCACGTATACTGAGCTGATGATTAATGAATGAAAATAATCAAATACCCCGACTGACTATACCGTAATGACACTTAGGGTATGAATACGAAACCAATGACATCTCACTCATGTAAATCGGTAATACTTTTTTGCTTCAGATGAAAAAGGAACTTACATATAAATCAGTCGAATAAGAATAAACATCTTTTCCACTTTAATAAGGTTTAGGAAACATAGTAAGAAATCTTACTAATATTATAAATGCGAATATTCGGATAGATGCATGGATGGTAACGGCTCAGCGGATCTTACTGAAATTTGACATAGATGTAGTCGTAGTCTGAAAGAATACGTAGGCTACGCATAAAAATAAGTCTACCGACCTGGTGTGGGTTGCGGCGGTCTGGTAGGTGTGAGCGCAGGCGGTCCGGGTGATGGTGCGGGGGCGGGCTGCCCGGGCTGGGCAGGGCGGGTCAGCCGCGTCCCCCGCGCGCCCCGCACCACCTGCACCGCGCCACCCCGCACCGCGCCCTTCACGCCCCCCGCTGACATTAATTGTGCTGGATACAACATACATAGTTACACGTACAGCACTTTGACACAAGGGCCCCAAAAACTTAACGTTGACAAATTAAAAATGCAAAAGTTTGAATGTATGGATGGATGTTTGCTAAATATCTAGTTGAGATCTCCAGAACGGTTCAACGGGTTTGGATTAAATTTTGCCCAGGCTACTACTATTAGGAAGAAAAACCGACACAGTGCCGGTGTACTGGCGCAACACTAGCCTTACTCAAATTTTCAACGTTTATGTTTCCTCACTAATCATTCTGATACTTGACTTTGTAATGAAAGCAGGCCACTCGCGCCAAATGATTCTAATTAATAATGTCTAAAACTACTTACTAAGTTGTTTTTAATACCGTGCGAACGAAGTGGCAGGCGATAGCGAAAGGAATAAAAACGCTTGGAAATCAACTAACTTCTAGTATATTCCTATCAGCCATACTGTTTAGTTCTTAGTAAGCAATATTATTATACTTTAATGTAGAAACTGACTCACCTATAGGTAAAGAGAGTACGGAGGGTTGGTTGGTGAGTACCACAGAAGTGGTGGGCGGAACCGATACTAGCAGTCCGCTGGGTGCACCAGACACGTTTAATGACAAAGAAATAGGCGCTGGTAGGCCCGGGATTTGAACCTGTACGTTCTGCAACCCTTGGATACCTTGCAAACCTTGCAGCGACGTTAAACTCAAACCCTGCAATAAAACACCAAATCCATCTCTTTGATTAATAGAACATTTCACTATAAAAAAAAAAAACAATAAAAAAAAAACACACTTGACGTTTTAGATGCGTTTTTTCTGGTAATTTTTTGTATAATTTTGAATACATTTCGAACGTACCGATTTACTATTTCATTATTTATCAAACGTTTGTGACCGTATTTTGTGCACGTATTTTTAATCCATAGATTTGTAATAATATCGTAAATAGATAAATACAGATAGTGAAAAGCCCTTATATTTTCAAACATGCAAAGCATTTTAAAACGTATTTCGGACACAACATTTAAAAAAAAATATAAAACAGAACTCAATTGCAATTAAAAACCAAAAAAAAAGGTCACTGGTAAGGTAGACCGAAATATTCTACACATCATGCTACAAAATGATTCACCATGTCTATTTACGAGATTAATAAAACATCTATGGTCAGAACGACCTAACCTAATTAGCCAATTATGCATCTACGCGTCCCATCGTTAGTCAAAACACAAACTCAAAACCAAAAAAAACAAAACTTGAAAATCGTAGTCATTTGAATTATTAATAGACTACGAGGTTTAATAGAAAGCTACCTGTAAATGGCATACAGGTTGCGCTTGTGTCGCGGGCGTGGGTTCGGGGCCCATTAGCCTCTCTAACAACGCACTCTCACTACTAGACACGTTCGTCGACTCACTGTCACAAGTGTACCCACTCATAACCTGCAAAAGACACTACGTTTCAAACATACCATCGATAATACCATAAACAACGACTTCTTTTTTCTACTGAAACTGACATTTTGCTATTTTCGTGAACCATAGACTAAATAAGATTAACTGGAAGGAAACAACGATAGTATTCATTACTTTATAAATTGTTATAAAAATTATACAAGCCTAGTTAATTAATGTTTAAAAATGTTATATATTTATTATAGATTAAATTTTTCATTGAACATCTACGGATTGTACGTTTTTTTCCTTTCGTAATATTTTCAAAGATATTTAATTTGAAATATGTTTTTTTAACTTGGACGATTGACGTAACATTAAGTTGTTTTGTTCTTTGACAATCTAGTGTAATAAAATTAAAAACTTATAATAAAACGACAGTCGTTCATTTTTCTTACTAGTAACATACCCATAAAATTGGATAATTATATTTTATAATTTGTTTTTCTTGATTTTCGCATCCGCGATTAATTCTACGATAAAGATGAAGAATATGAATAATTTTTTAACTATTTTCATTATAAAAAAAATGCATTTGTCGCTTTAAACGCGTTCATCTCAGTCTACATTTCTGATTTGATGACCTTTTGAAGATTTAAAAATCCATTGATTACAGAAGATCATAGACATTACGTTATAATACTTAGAAATCACCCAGAAACAAGTAATCAATTTTAAAGTAAATTTAATTTAGTAAATATCTATAATAAGAATTGTAATTACCTGTTGAGTATATGTAGGTATGGAGTGGGAGGCCGTGGTGGTAGCTATGAGGCGAGCACCAGATATTGAGACAGTGCGGCCGAGCAGCTTGTGGGCGTCGATGGCGCCTTCTGTAGGCGCGGTGTGGGCGGTATGCGTCATTTGCGCGCCCTGCGTCCCGTGCGTCATGGCCGCCGGCGCACTGTTCAGCAGGTTCAGTATCGTTGCATTGCTATTTGCTGTGCTCACCACAGCTTTAGCTGCGTTTTGACTTGCCGCTGAAATACACAAAAACAATAATTGCCATCTAATTCTATTTAAAACAATTACTCACTGACATCTATAAATGGATTGGCTGTAAGAGGTACTATTTTGTGCCTATTTGATTTTCGTCTTTTTGGCGCTGCGGGCTGTAGCGGTAGTGTTGATTCAAACTAATTAAATAGATAATTAACTGTCACGTAACATCATTCCGTGTCTTAATCGGAATGAAACAGAACCTGTCATTTACAAGCAATCACTAATCTATTTATATAGATGAGTGCAGTCCTAAAATATAAAAGGATAAACCTTTTATATTTTGAAGTTAAATTATTACCTTGTTGGAACTGTTGAGCTGAATTCATAAGACTAGTGACAAGTGCGCTGATGGCGGGGTTCGTTGTTCGCGGCTTACTCGCAGTCGCCTTCTGCTGTGTAGTCGATGTATTCGTATATTGAATATTCTGTACCTACAAATACAGAAGGTAATTAAATCAATGTCACCCTAAGTTCATAAACAAGGACATCATCATCAAGTTATAACTTATTGAACCTAGTTTCCGTGTTGTATACTCACCTGCGATGTCCCAGCAGAAGACATGAGCGGATGCTGTATATGTATGATGGCGGACTGCATCTTCTGAGGGTTAAGAGGTTGGGGCGGATTGGTCAACTGTTGCGCCAGTAACTGATTTGTTGACGCTTGCGACGAGTGGATATCATGCACCTTCGAATTATTGATACATTATTAAATAAATATTTTATCAATATCGTAAATGCGAATGTTTGGATGTATGGATGGACGGATGGAAGTTTGTTAGAAGATATCTGCAGAAAGGATGCAACATGGCGTAGATATAGAGCATAGTCTGTAAGAACACGTGGGCTACTAATTATTTTTTTTTTCGGACGGAGTCGCGCGCGACACTTAGTGTTTAAATTTGTATAACTAAAACTTGAATATACCTGTGGAGATAGGCGAGGTGTAGTCGGCGAAGGTTGCTGCTTGAGCGTCACTTCGTTAGCGACCACAGCAGCTGCGGCTACGTTGCCCACGTTGCCCACGTTTACATTGCCCACGGTGCCCGCAGGCACGCTGCCCACGGCGGTCACGTTGCCCACGGTCGCGACGTTGCCCACCACAGTGCCCACAGTTGCGACGCCGCCGACGTTACCCACTTGTTGTAGTTGAGCCTGCTATTACATTTTTCGTTAGTTTCATTAAAGAAAATAATTGATTGATTTATTATTAAGTAAATTTCGATACTAATGTGTTAATTAATCTAACTAATAATTACACCTTCACATATGTGTAATACACATATGAGAAAATTTACCACTTAATATCTCCACTAACCAGAATGGGCAGCTGTCTAACATTTGCGTGGGCGTTGGGCGTGGGCGCTACTGCGGACGTCCTGCAAAGCAAATTAACAACTTTTGGGTCACATTTACTTCTGTGATCTTGGTATCAATTTGTCCACATCAGTACTCTCAAATTTTGAACTAAAAGTCTATAGTCGAAGTTTGTATTTGGATGTACAGTCAGCGTCATATAGATCGTAACAGACAAGATATGCAAATATATAGGTACATCAAAAGTAATCAATTATATCGGTACAACAAAAGTCCTCAAAATAATAGATACATTCACCCTGATCAAATACATCGGTACATACACAGCGTCAAATATATGAGTACATGCAAGATGCTCATAAATATCGTAG